GAACCAAAGAGAAAAGTCTCTCAAAAACTCAAATTCAATTGCCTCCCTCAATTAGGGTTACAAGCCCCTTTAAATAGGGAAAAGTAATTCTAATCAGAATAGGAAACTAACACCCTAAGCCCTAATCATAATAACCACGAATTGGGCCTTAAATAAATGAATGTTTAGCCCAAAATAATATAAAAAACGTGAAAATCACTAAAAGTAGCCTAAAGTAACATGAAATATCAATTTGTTACAAATTGCGACAGAATTGCGAGATTGACGCAAACTGTGTAATTTAGCATAAATGACCTCACAATTAAGCTTCTCTTGAACCTGAATGATGTTTATCATGCCTTGATAATCATCCAAACTTCGATTTGCTTGTTGTATGTTGTTTTCAACCCAGATCTGCTCAATAAGGCCATTTAAAGCTTCATGCATCTTCTTAGCTCTAACTCACGTGACTGGACCTCCTTGGGTGTGTAATGGATCACATGACGTGGTAGATATGCTGTCATCTTGATTCCCATCAATTTATCTCACTAATACAAGGCTAGATATATAGTTTATCTTGTTAGTTTGTTATTTAGGTTCATGAATAAGCCAAATAAAGTTCATTATGCAGCAATAAAAAGGATCCTCTTTTATCTTCAAGGTACAAAAGGTTTTGGTATCAAATATGTCAAAGAAGGAGATTACAAGCTACTTGGATATACCAACAGCAATTAGGCTGGTTCCATTGATGACTGCAAGAATACTTCTGGTTATGTATTTTATTTAGGCACAAAAATAGTTTCATGGTCGTCAAAGAAGCAAAAGACATTACCCCCAACAAAAGCAGAATATACTGTAGCTACAAAAGCACCATATGAAGTAGTTTGGTTAAAAAGACTTCTGGGAGATTTATTGTAGAAAGAAGAAAAAGCCCACAATTATCCATTATGATAATATATCAACTATAACTATGACAAAAGATCCAATCTTCCAAAGCCGCACAAAGCATATTGTGCTTTGCCATTATTTTATCAAATATTTGGTGTAAATTGGTGAGATTCAATTGTAATTTGTGGAGACAAAAGAGTAGATGGCAGATATACTCACAAAAGGAATACTTTCTAACAAATTTCAACAATTCAAAGAATATGCTCAAATTACAAAATAAGAGGGAGTGTTGAAAGTTAATTTGTAAAGGTAGTGGCAGTTTGAAGACTTGCTAGAAGAGGAAAGTTATTGACAATTCAATGGATATAGAAGTCAATTTGGTTTTTACATGTGTTTTGTGTTTAATGCATAAGCATGATGAAGCTTGTGTATCTATGACTGTAAAAAGTAAAAACTCAATTGTAAAATTTAATTATTTTTTTTTTGTTTTCTTTAGTCAATTGTTAGTCATATAAATAAACCATTTGTTTCTTGCATCAATAATCCAATTCAATGCAATAGGCTTCCACCTAAATCACTCAAATTCTATTTCCTTTATCAATTCTTGCCTCTTGTTTCTTCACTTGCACCCATAGGCATTGATTTTTGGATTAAAAAAGTCAGCACATCCCCCTTGTTGAAGAAGAAACTATTGAATTAACTATTACCAAAACAAAAATATTGAATTAACTGATCATTAACACAAATCACAAACAAATAGGTCAAAGGTACTTCTAATTAAAGGCAAGTGGGGTTTACCAATTACATAAATTAAGAAACTAGAATAGACTAAAGAGATGAAATTTGAAAGTAACATTGAGGGTAACAACTTGTGAGGAGGAGGTACCAAAGAAGAGCACAAAAGAGTGCTCAGAAGAATGTTAATAGCGACGATTGGATGGACGCGGTGTTTGGCAACTGGTGGTGCAACCTATTGCTCAATTGGAGATGTGTGTGTTTTGTCCCAAAAAGAGGAGAGGAAAAAAGTGAAACAAAAATGCTATAAAAGCTTATGGTCATATAATTGGTTCAATCCATCAAATTTTCTGTGATATTGTATATATTTATTCATTTAATATTATATCATATTCATTTAATATCAATCATAATTTTAAGCTTATAATTATAGGTGGCATTGTAACTATAGTATTGTTGTGATAGTGAAAATCTTAAGAATAATAAGAAGGGTAGTATATGGTTCACATCCTTTTTTCTCTCTCCACTACCATTTTGTAACTCACTTTGCTGGTGTTGAGGTGTATTCCGACTTTAAAAGAAAAAATATAGTTAAAAATTTGGAATATATTTGGATAGCTCAGTGTCCACTTGAATTCATGATGAAGAAAAACAGGTGAAGGAAGGGGAAGGTGAAGTCTTGGTGATGGATAGGGTGAGGGTGTTTAGGAGCCATTAGAAATAAATTTAATGGTAGTAGATGGAATGGAGAAGGTGAATAGGGGTTTTGTAGAATAAGAGAAAGAAAGAGAATAGGTTGAGTATTTTTGTTTTTTATTTTTTGTTTAGTGCTCAAGATGTCCTCGAATCAGCTTGTGCACATCTAAAAACTAATCCATTCCTAGTCATGTCAAAGGCAAGCCATTCAGAGGATAGGCAAAATATGATAAAAAAAGAAGGACCCAGAAAAAGAAGAAAGGTCATTCTGATAATTTTATCCCTACATAAAAAGATAATTATAATTATTAAGGCTTCATAGTTTTGATTTTCAAAAATTTAGAAACACTAGAATAAAATTAGAAAATTCTATATAATAATCAACTTTGAAGTTTTAGGTATTAGTATTAAAATTTTATATCTAATAAGTTGTCAATTTTAATTTTAGTTTTCAATTATTAATATTGATTGTTTAAATGTGTAAAACCAAAACTAAAAACCAAAAATCACAACCATAATCATAAATAGAGCTTAAATCTACCAACCAAAATGCTCTCTAAACAAAGGAAAAAATTACAACTCTCTCACAGAGGTCATACCAACGAAAATGCCCTCTAAACTAAAAAAAATTACAACTTTCTCAAAAAAAAAAAAAAGTCATTTGATGAGATTTTAGAATATTTTTAATATTTAGATGGCTCCAAAATCAATAAGAAATTACAAAGACACTATTAGAGCCTCTTTTGCATTCTTTTTAAGGGTAAACGTAGATAACAAAATGATAAATTTAAGAAAGAAAAAGGAAAAAAAAAGATAGTAGAGTAAAGAGACAAATAGACAACTTTTTTTATGTGAGAGAAAGGAAGAAAAGATAGCAAAATAGAGAGACAAAGAGACAAAGCTTTTCTTAAGAGAGAGAGGAAGAAGTTGAGAATAAAGAGAGAAAGGAACAACCAATGACTCAAAATTCTTATTATTTCTAACACACTATGTGGGTTATTAGGATTTTTCTACTTTTTAAAAAGGCACTTTCTATTACCTTAAGAAAAGATAATGCTTAAATTTATTGATGGGAATCAAGACAACAACATATCTACTATGTCATGTGATCCGTTACACAGCCAAGGAGGTCCAGTCACACGAGCTAGGGCTAAGAAGATGCGTGAAGCTTTAAATGGCCTTATTGAGCAGATCTG